GTTGTTCTTTATTTTATTTATTGGTCTTTATTTATTGTTTTTTCCCCATGTTTTTTTAGAAGAACATCTCCTCCATTCATGATTATATTATTGGTAATTATTCCTATCCTCCTTGATTAAGCGTGGGTGGCGCCACTCCTTCTCGAAGACTACTACTACTACTACTACTACTGAACAGTCAAGAAACTGATCATGCCATCATTCCCATCCATCTATGCATTGGTCTAACGCTCAGACATCAACTGCAGAAATGGTGGTTGTTTCTCAGCTCAACATACCACTGGTGCCTGTGTTTGGTCAGAAACATACTGGAAGTACTGTACATGTACTGTACATACATAGTTCAACTGCCATTGAATCAGATACCTAGTTAGAACTTAGCTGGCAGTCATCATGTTGTTTGTCATATCTTTGATGTTAAAAATGAAGGTGTAGAGATTATTATAATAACATTCAGAAGTTAGTGCATTTCAGTTTTTCCACTTTGAATTAACTTAACACCTGGATTCAATCATATCTATATCTATATATGTATATAGTAATTGCAAAGAAAAATAGAAACAAACTACTGTATGTAAATAATAGCTATATAAGATAACTCTTCATGTTCTGTTGAGATTGTAACATGTTAATAAATCAGCATAACTATTATTATACACAGATTTTCCTGAATAAATTGATAATTTATTCTGAAAGGCAACCAAACCAGCTCATGAGTGGGAAAAAAAAAAAAAAAAAAGTCTCAGCTCTTTCTCAGAGATGTGCTAAGCTTTTATTTTAATCAAGAGGTGATTGATGAGCACTGTTCTAACTTATTATTATTATTCTATACCTATACTTTTTTTCCTTTTTTCTTTTTATTTATTGCAATTATTATAATTATTCTTCCCCCCCTGTCCAACCGGGGCGCCCCGCGTGAGCTTGTTTCAGGAATTCAAAGTCAATTCTTCCTCTTGCAAGCTAACTCTGAGACAGGGCGTAGTTGGTGGTTGGTGAGTGCTTGCAAGTTGGGGGGACGGGCGTTGAAAAATAATAATAATAATAATAATAATAATAATAATAATAATGAGTCAATAAATAATAAGAAAAGAATAGGAATAGAAATAGGAATTAATTTCGGTCAACCGCCGTAGCCCGCATGAATACTCCGCATTATTCGAACGAGAGAGCGAGCCAGTTTGACAAAGTCCCCCCCCTTGTGAGTCTTAAGTTTAGTTAGCCTGTTGAATAATAAATGATGAATGGCTTGCCATGCGTTCAACAAGCCTAGCAGGACAGGCTAAGCAGGCTAAGCAGGCTAGCAGGGGGCCCATATGGCAAAAGGCGCGCGCTATCGGAGAGAGGAGAGGGTTGGTGGGTTAGTTTGCCGTTTCGCACGTGTGTGTTCGCTGCGTTCAACTGACTGTGTTTGGTGATTGATGTTTGGGCGATGGGCGAGTTTATATGGAGAGTATAAAAGATGTATAAAATGTGTTAGTTAGATGGAAGGGCAATGTCATGGTATAATAATAGGCTTGTCCAGAAGAAGACAAATAAAGCCATTTTCTAGAAAACCCCGAACCGACAAATAATTCCACACCAAACCCCTCGCCGCCTCAGGGTGGGTGGAGCGTGTTTAAGTTGCGGCTTGCCACGTTCTTGACCCTGGAGCATTCCATGGATGCGCTGGCCAGTCTCGTGATCCGTGATGATACACACCGACTACTAACTACTACGAACTCCGAGCGTAGCTTACAACAAATATCACCGAACTCCACCTCCACCACCACCACCCATATCCATCTCGACCACGCTAAGTAGGACATGGGAAAACGAGGTTGAACAAAAAGGAAAGAAAAAAACGTGGTCGACATCGCCACCTTTTTCCCACAAACCCCGTTCGTTTACTAGGACCCGGCTCGGCTCGGCTGCTGCTCGCAAACTTGCTAGGTAGTTACAGTATATGTGTAACTTCCCATAAAAAATCACCACTAATTAATCCTAATTAATCCTGAATCAGAACGACAATCAATAACCATCCCTCTCTTCCAACGAGTCATATCATATCCAGGGCGGAGGTCTAACCGCGAACCAGCCAAAAAGCCTGGCTGGAGTTTGAAAGCCCCCCCTAGGCTCTAGCCCAGGCACTGCCAGCGGCCACGCTAAGCTCGGTGATTGCTGGGTGATTGCTGGGCGATGCTGGGATACTTGGGCTAGCTAGGCTGTAGCGTGCAAGCCACGAAGGATCTGCGGGCGCCCAGCTGTGATCCGGTGAGTCTGTGACGCCTGGGCTGCTTTTGCTTTTTTTTTTCCCCTCTTTTTTTTCTTTCTTTTTTTCTTTTTTTCTTCTTCTTTTTTCTGTGCGTCGTCAAGGAGAGTTGGTCGCAAGGCTTGTCTTGTTGGGCTGCCCCGGTTTTTAACTTTCCTTCGGCGATCGTTTCTGCGTGTTTGGGGCTTTCCTTTCTTTCTCGTATCATGTATAGTGGTTTTGCCGTGTATATCTGGCTGATAATCCACATATATATATATATATATATATATATATATTTCCCTCTCTTTTTGCTCTTTCCCCCCCGTTGCTTGTTTCATCTTGGAGATATTTCCATAACTAGGACTGATTATTATCAACCTACTAGCCCCATCTCTGAACCAAATAAGAAGAAGAAAAGAAAAGAAAAGAAAAGAAAAGAAAAGAAAAGAAAAGAAAAAAGAAAAAGAACCCGTCAGCCCAACAACCCCTTGTATTTGGAATTTTCCTTGAATCACCGCACACACCCTTGGGACCCTTCTTTTCCCCCATCGCACCGTCGTCGTCCACCCTTGGCCCAACAACCATCGACCAACCCTGTGATCAGCCTCTTCTCAATCTCGGGATCTCAGTTTCTCGACTCAGCACCAGGTACATACATACATACATACATACACATCACACATACGCAGCCTACTCACACAGACACACGGTTATCGCCTGCAGTCAGCGGAGAGCAAAATAGCCTGGCATCGAGTGCAAAGATATCAACAACTCCCACTCCAACCAAGCAGCGCACAGCAGACAATCTCGTACAACTCTCCTGATTGCCGACACGCCCTTTTTCTTGTCTGCTGTACGCTCTCTACTGGATTTTCGCCATGCGTTTCTGTGGATGACAGACACTGCATTTATTATTAATAATACCACAAGCCAGTCTCCGCGAATTCATTATTTAACCCACAACCTTCTGTTTGATCGCCAACCTGGACCGCTGTATTTTAATCGTCGTTCTGGTCCCTATTCTTGTCTGGTATTAGTTCCAGCAGTCTCCAATTAATCAACATATTATTATTGTATTTACAGGGTCGGCTACGATTTCGTCTGTTGCTGGCTGGTGGGTGGTTTCTGGAATCCCTTAGCCTACCAGATTCTTCCTATTCTTCTTCTTCTCCTTCTTCTTCTCATTATTACTATTATTACTATTACTATTATTATTATTATTATTATTATATTACTATTACTATTACTATTACTATTACTATTACTATTACTATTACTATTACTATTACTATTACGGAGTATTTATTATTATTATTATTATTATTATTCCTCTGGAACTTGAAGATCTCCAAAGCAGACCAATTATTCTTCCATTGTTCCCCCTACCTCGGCCGACCTGCAGCGGCGGATCTCACTCCCCGCTCGATATCCTCCATCTCCGCCGTGTTAGCCCAGGTGAGCCTCGTGTTTCAGGTCCAAATCTCCCAGCATCAGCATCATCATCATCATTCAGCAGCCAATTCCTCACTCAACCTCCCTTCTTTTTGCTCTCATCATCACATCTCTACTAAATTTCTACCCCACCACTTGTTGCCCTCCAAGTGGCCTGCCAATCCGGATGCACCATTCCCCATAATAATAACCCTACCCTACCTTTAACTATTTTTTCCCCCTGGCTTTTATTTTCCAGTTTTACCCTTCTTTCTTGCCAAACTTTTTTTTGTTAAAAAAAGTTCACCTATTCTTTAGCGCTGCGGGCCACCTAACAACCTGCCCTCTTGTTTTTGCGGTTAAACTCCTGTCACTTTGGCTTTGCTGACTCGTTAGTGGCAGGCGTATTCCTGCTGGCCCCCAGCCTTATTTCCGGCCTCTTCTCCAGCTTGAACCCAAAAATCCACTGCTCTGCCTGCTCCGACGAATACTGGGGTTTTTCCCCCCCCTTCTTTTTTCTTTCTTTTCCTCCCCCCCCCCCCCCCCCCCTCCCCTTGTTCGTCCCCCCGTTTAAGTACCTTGCCCTTCTTTCAATGAGCACTCTATCTGCTCTCGACAGGTCTCGACAGGTACCGCGAAGGATCCAATAATAAAGCTGTCTATTCTCCCAGCTCCTATCTCCCCTTAGGTTCGGACGCGATTATCGTTCCTCAACCACCATTTCTGCGTCTCGCTCCAGCCGTCGCTCTCTTGCTGCAATTGCTATAGAAAAAACTTCCCAGGCCTTTAATAGCTTCACTTCGTCACTCGCGGCCCCCCAATCAAATCCCCCCTCTCGTAATTCCCCTGCAAATTCCAACTTCTCGAAGCCGCCAGCTCGAGATACCCCGTCTCCCGCATTAAACTCTCACAACGGCTTTGAGGATAGGACCAACGTCCAGAGCAGAGGCAGCGGTAGTAGTGTAGGTGGTAGTGGTAGCGGTAGCGGCGATAGCGGACCTAGCTCCGGTATTGGTGGTGCGGGCAAACACGACTACCGTCTGTCGATTCAAGCGTTGCGCAGAGGCTCTGTGGACAACCTCACATTAACCCTCCCCTCCCGCCCCGCCACTCCTAGTCCCTCAGTGTCTCCCAACCAACTTACTCACTTTGCTACTGCGTCTCGACGATCCACTCTTCAGGGAAGTCAGAGGAATCTACCACAGCTACACAGCACTTCTGCACCT